TCGCACTATACTCCTTTCATTGGCAGTGGCTGTGGTTAGGGATTGCAGACGGAGAAGAAAGACTTGCAAGCGGTTGGAGTTGCCATGAACGCAAGAAGTTGTTGGTAAGTTTGCTGGCTGTCATTGTGGGGTGACAATAATGACAGCTTATGATAGATGCAATTACGCCAACACATGTTTCACAGCACAAACAACATCTATAATAAGACTGGGATGATGCCCTTAGTGTCCTTGAAGTTGGTGCATGTAATAGTTAGGGGTGATGTGAGTTGCTCATCCGCCAGCGACACAAAGCTGTGAATGTTGTGAACGGTTTGTCAAGTCAATATTACTGTCTTAAAACTCGTAGTACAGTAGTGGGCCAAAAGTCTCCTACACTCCCACTTTAATACTAGAACTCAGCATCTTCATATTAGTACTTCTTAAGTAACTTGAAGCATAAAGGGGGTTTTGAAACCCGAGTATTCTATATAAATTTAACTAAGGAATGCTCTCCAATATGCCTAAATCCGATGTAAATAAGGTAAAGTTGACTGTTTCCTCATAGAAGCACCCTGGGCATCGTCGTCTGTCTTGGCCTTGGCGTGTTTTCTAAAGAAGCACCCGGAGGAGAGCGCAAACTCGGACTGCCGACGCATGTCTCCAGAAGATGTGTCTTGTCAACCGTCAGAAGGCCGTGCATGTGGGTTAAGGCTTCTGACATGTTGCTGGTGAAGCGCCCTCGAGGGTTTCAGACTATGGTCTGACAATCACATACAACTTCTCCCATGGTTTAGGGAGAGTAGCATGTCTTGTATTCTTGACTTCAGGCGTTGTATCTCCAATGAAGAGGATACAGAGGCGGATCCATGACCCGTGCAAATGAGGAGTCTCCCGACCGTGTGTGACGCATTTCGTGGTCAAGGGCAGGTCGCGAAGTGAATGAATGAAGTTGAAGGCATGGTTCGCTCGTGAATAAGCTCAAAGTGTCTAAAGCCTTGCATAGTATCCGAGAATGGATTCACGAGCGCTTTAATGATTCGAGCTTGCTTGACGTGAAGCGGGACAGTTTGTTGAGTGTGGAGGTGATCAGGATGCTTGAAGATTCAGCAGTGTCCATTCACCCAAGAAGAGGAAACGCAATAGATACAAACTGAGATCATGTCAAACAGTCGATATCATTGCACAGTGGACCGCCTCATTTCTGCAACTCGACTTGCAATACAAGTGGTCGGGTCGATTGAATGAACTATCGCCATGATCACCATGATGATTGTTGTCAGATTACTGAGCCGCTAGAGCTTGAAGAGATTAGCACAACGGTTACGGTCAGACAAGGATGTGTGCTCGAGTACAGAAGAGACCAGCACAACGGCCGTGAAACATACATCGATATGCGTGACTCGGAGGATTGTGAGGCTAGAGAGACTAGCTTAGCGGCCATAGACTGGCAGGAGTGTGCAGCTCGGTGTTCTCGTAGATCGAAGAAATCAACATGGTGATCTTGGACAGGTAGGTGTGTGACTAGGAGGTGCCTCGGGCTGACTGACGCAAATAGATGCACCATCACAGTAGTAGATATGTAGGTGTGTCTGGATTGGAGTTGTCAGACTGGGTAAGCCATTGCAACGGCCATGCACAGCTCAGAATAGCGTGTGGGCGTGAGCACTATGAGGCTAGAAACATTATTGCAGCAGCTGTGGATGGGTAGGCGTGTGCGACTCGGAGGGGATCATACCTGACTCAAGTTGGCTCGAGGTTCCAGGCGGGTACAGCAGTTGAAGAAACATATCTAGACACGTGTGACTCAAAGCGTCGTCCGACTGACGAGGCTAGTATGGTGGCTGAGAGGAGTAGGTGTGTGCATTAAGAACTAATGTAGCGACTATAGATAGGCGGACGTGTGACTCGAATAGCTATTAGAATGATCAGCCAGCACAGAGAAAGGAGTCAGATAATCGATGCTCTGTGGCGCTTCAAAGAGAAGACGAGCCTGGTCGAAGGAGTCAGGATGAAGGGATGTGACTTGATGACACTCTTGAGCTCCTGCTTGGCGAGAGCATCGATGCCTGTCCATTCTGGCCTCACATCTTGCCAGGGGATCACGGTACTTCCGCCAGACGTATAGGAGAAGGAAAGAGTCATTGAGTAGCCTTATATGATTGTCAGTGACGCCTAGTTATAAAGGATGAACTATTAGCACTTACATAGCCGCAGTTTACAAGACTTGGTGGTTTGATAATTGTAGCGGGATTCTACAGCAGAGGGTCTGGGATGATCGACAACTGATCCTTGACGACGCGTTAGTGGACTGCGCCTGGTGAAGAAAGACGACATACCTCGAATCGCCCGATGGGTAGATAGATAGGCTGGCGTGTGTGGACGGACTGACAGATTTCTTCCTATAGCATATGCACACTGCGAAGTTTCCGTCGTGTGGCAGTCACTGACCAACTTGACGTTGAGAATTGAATGTCAGGCTTCCGATGCACCGCCAGCCTTCCTAGAGGCTTGACGGTGAACATCGATGCCTAGTTCGCTCTTCTTATGCTAACCACTAGCCTGGGTAAGACAGCTAGAGGGTCTAGAAAACGAGACAGTACCACTGGTAAAGCCACACGTTCTTCTGCCCCTGCGTCCCACCAAAAAAATACGAGTGCTGGTGTATGGGCACGTACATCGTGGGCGCGCTTCCCACCCTTAATCCAATGGAGGTACAATGGTGATATTCATTCGGAAGTTCCTCTTATACATTCGGAGGCTGCTGCTCCTTGCACAATCGTTGAAGACCTCCGTGATTGCAGTCGGTCACTAACGGTGATCGCTCGGTCTACATGTCGACGGAACTTCCTGATCATACGTCAGCACGAACATGCAACGCCCCGAGTTAATACTTACCTAGCTGGTCTCGGGCACTCGCCAGAGAAAGAGGCTTGGCCAACGGCGGTGCTGTACTGCTTGCCTGCAACAGTACAGCAGTACAAAGGCACGGTGATTTCCCGGGCGGGAGTAAACATCACCTGGCTCAGGCGCCGGTAGGCCTCCTTGCACAATCCCTTGTCGCACCTGTGTGCTACTGGATAGGCATTGCTCCAAGCCGTCAGTGTTGGCACACTTAATCGAGCTTGGATAAACAATCTGGGATCCGTCGTCGATTGCTGATCTCCATACCACAGTGTTGACACACTTAATAGGTTTGGATACACACAATCTGGGATCTGTCGTCGATTGCTGATCTCCATACCACAGTGTTGACACACTTAATAGGTTTGGATACACACAATCTGGGATCGCTCCGAGCACAATCAGTTCGTCCATAGGACAATCAGATCAGGTACCCCTGCTCGAGAAGCCGGAAAGGTGGACGATGCCGCTCTTCCCTGGGTTGCTTCTGTTGTGGATGAGAGAGGCAAGCGGGTCTGATGGAGGAAAAGGTGGGGAAGTGTGGGCATGGCTAAGCTAGGGCTGGCCTAGGGCACGGTGATCCTAGTGCCTCAGGCCCCAGCGCACATGCCCCATTGCTGCCCCAGCATCGCATTGCACAACCACTTAAAGCAGTAGGACAGTTCATAGGTTCAAATTCACCAAGAAACTGTTCATGAAATCTGTAAATGTTGACTTCAAAAAGTTCATTCGTCAAAATCACCTGAACTGTCAGTGAAGGAATTTCCCATCCCCACGTGACCTTCTTCATGGCTGGCTGGTTCTGAAGTGGGCGCACGGAGTATTCTGTCCTGTTGCCTGCCTGAGGACAACGGTCGGCGTCGCTTCGTGGACACTGCCCCCAAGGGTAAAGCGATCATGGACAGCAAAAGGTAGCAACCAGGTGATAGGTCAATGCGATGATCCCGTAGATAGAAACTGTTACCAAGTACTCGGATATAGTAGTTGATGACATTTGTTCGTGGAGGTTCCTCGCACGGCCAAGAGTTTCGCACACTCTCGCTATCGTCTTGACTTGATGACATCCTTTTGGGCCGGTTGCGGCATCAACACCGAGGCACCCAAAACCTAAACCCACCGATTGAACCTAACTTTAGTGCAGTTTATTCTTAACTTCATCATAATTTAGCTAACCTAGTACTAGGAATTAGTTAATAAGTTATTATACATCAACAGAGATTACGCCATGAATATGTGAATGGGTTTAGCATAGGTGAGGAGATACATGTGCGAGTTGAGTCTCAACTAGCACAGGACTATGGTCGCACCCGCTACCTGTTGCGGGCAAAGAGCATTCACTTTCAGTAAGCTCGAATGACCAGCAGCAAACTACGGTTTTAGTAATTGTCTTAGCCGATTAATCGTAAATGGGGACCAGAAGTGTAGGCTTGGCCGAGATGCTGGCTGCACGGTTGCACACCCAGTGCATCTAGGGCGGGCGAGCACTTGTTGGCGGGCAGCCTCCCTCCGCCAGCCTTCAAGAGCCACGGCCTCTGCTCGGTTGGCAAACCAAATATCTACGAACCCGCCAAGAAGAATGATGACTTTGGCCCCAGGAGCAAGCCCTTATTTGCCGCCGTATGCTGACCCCCGGTCTATGTTTCCTATCAGGGCTGGTCGAGAGTTGCGAAAACCTCGAGTTCCTGAATTCGTCGTCACTGAATGGCGTACTTAGGTTTGCTTCGGGTAAGGCGCTTCTACCAATGGTTACGAAGAGGCACCCATCCGTACGGTGGTGAGCCAGTAGTAAGATTGACATGTTGATGGGGAAGCATCAATGTAAATGAGGAGGAGACACGATGTAGTTGTGAGTTGTTGTCGTTGTGACAGTGCTTGAGAGTCGGGGCAAGGTCCAATGAAAATAGACGCATAGAGACCCACATTAGTCAGCGCCCGATCCCACCCACGAATCAGTTGCGATACCTACCCTACCCACCCAGGTGGGGCCGGGGCACGAGGTCCACTTCATTCACCGTCCCCACTTTCAGCTCACTCAGGATCCACTCACCACGGAATCGCCATGGTCCTGGATCAAGACATCAATATGTAAATTAATCGCGCATTATTCAACAACCACCGGCCTGGTGGTCTAGCGGTATGATTGTCGCTTCGGGAAAACTCCCAATTCTTCCAAAGAAACTGTGACAGGTCCCGGGTTCAATCCCCGGCCAGGCCCCTCAATTTTTGCAGTCCAGGCCGGCACCCCGGGCGTGGAAAACGAACATCTCAGATGTCCAACCCCTTCCCACAGACTTTTCTGAGGGAAATGTGACCATTTGAAAGGACAGGCAGATTCTGGGTCCAGAACTTGTCTTTTTGCCCCCATTTCCATGTGTGGGTGGGTTCTGGACAGTGCAGAGTGTGACGAGGCTCGGCCTCCGGAGGTGGCCCCACATCTCCGGCCAAGGCAGGTATCATGAATGCAATGCGGCCATGACATGAACCCCGGCCAACCCAGCCAGCACATGTCTTGTTTATGCCATCGCATGGCTTCCCATTCGCGAAGCATCAACCAACGTATGCCTATGGTTCACAGTATTTTTGATCATTTTGATAACAGCGGCTGTAAGCTGCGGTCGCGACAGCAGGGTTGGACAGTCTGATACTTTAGGCACCAGTCGCCCAAGACAAGCGCCGTGGTGGAATTGCACAGGTACCTATGCAGCTGGGCCAATGTACTGCGCTTGGGTACTCGAGTTGGTTGGCACAAGGCGTCCTCGATTTTGCATCTGGTCCGATAATTTTGGGCGTCCGCATGAACAATGCCATTTAGTCCAGTCGGCCATGACTTTTCCGTGGCTTCTGATTGCGCCAGCCCAAGAACCACAGAATCATAGACTAGATTCAGCCACGCCGGGCCAAGAATGGGCAATTGGGCCATTCTCCTAGCCATCGCCTGGAGCTTGAAGAGAGTGAGTTTGCGGCGAAGCAAAACAACCCGGAGTTCAACTCTGAAGTGAAATAAACTCTACATAGATGCCTGAACTTATTGGCATCGATTTCTTCGCAACCCGACTGAACGCTTGGCTGGACTGATAATCTTGACGTCCCAAATTTGGCCAACCGAGCCACCTTCCTCAGGTGTCAACATGTGCAGCGTGCTTACCCCTCCACGCATCTCCCGACCGTGGGGAACGCAACCTTAATTCGACCCTTCTCAACCATTCCAAACGACGTCGCCTCACTGTGCGCGACGATGAACAACTGTGATGGTATTCTCCGGGCTGCGCACCTCCGGCGATAGAGCGCCCTCGCTCAAGTCCAGAGCGAGCGTCGAGAGCGTCACGCAGCCGGACTACATCCACGACGAGGCGCAGCTGCCTTGCGTCCCGCCCGACCGACCCGACCTCCGCGAGCTCAACAACGGCCTCGAAGCCCTCGCCGCTCTCTTCCCGGACATCCAGATCGAGGTCTTCCGCGAACTGCTCTCCAACTTTGATGGCGAGTCGCGCCTCGCGCTGGTCGCCGATGCGCTGCTGAAAAACCGTGCCACCTGGGTCAAGGGGCGGTGGAGGGTCGACAAAGACGCCCAGGCAGAAGCGGTCCCCAAGACCGAGGTCTTTCGGAGCGTCGAGTACAAAAAGGCGGTCCAGACACTAGCGTGGCAGGAGTTCAAGGGCCTGTCGCGGTCGACCATCAACGCCGTGCTCGCAGAGTCCAACTACTCATACCTCGAGGCTCGACGAACCCTCGTAACGCTGTCCTCGAAGTCGTGGCGCTTCACCATATCCTCCCTCTTCTTCCGACGCAAACCCATTGCCACGGGTGAGGCAGAGAATCACCCGCTAGTATCATGGCGATCGACCGGCCATGGATCCATCACACCTACGATTCGCACGACAGGCAGCCCGGAGCTGGACCGTGAACTTTACAAAACACTCATCGTCCCTCTAAAGCAACGAGATCGAGAAGAGAGGGAAAACAAGGACCGAGGGCTCGCCTTTCTTCTCAATAACGAGGAAGCGGAAGAAGCAGAAGCCACGCACGAGTGTGTGTGCTGCTTCATCTCGGCGGCCTTCGAAGAGTTCACGCACTGCAACCGAGACGGCCACATGATCTGCTTCCGCTGCGTGCAGCACTCCATCAAAGAGGCCATATTCGGCCAGGGCTGGACTAGCAGTATCAACCCAGAGACGGGGACCCTCAAGTGCCTTTCGGTGGATGGCGACGGATGCCCTGGCCACATCCCAGCCGACCACATCCGCCGCGCTATGGCAGAGGAAAGGATGGGCGCCGAGATCCTGCACAAGCTCGACCGCAGGCTGGCAGAGCATAGTCTCCTGGCCTCCAAGCTCCCGCTTGTCCGATGTCCGTTTTGCGACTACGCGGAAATTGACGACATGTACACGCCCGCACACGAGGCGACGCTTCGGATCAATGCTACCAGCGTCTACAACTTATTCTTCCTCATCCTCTGCATCGGATCGCTGCCGTTCGTCTTCCCCGTCATATTCATATCCTCCATCATCTGCCTGTTCCTCAGCACGCGGCAGTCCTTCGGCGATTACATCTCCACAGAGTGGCATGGAGCCCTCACACGCCACCGGCGACGGCGCCGCGGCCTAAAGTTTGCCTGCCAAAACCCCGAGTGTAAGCGAGTATCGTGCCTCTCCTGCACCAAGTCCTGGCACGACATCCACGTGTGTAACGAATCGTCCCTCGTCGCCCTGCGCACGCAGGTCGAGCAGGCCATGAGCATGGCCATCAAGCGCGTCTGCCCCCGCTGCAACACGTCGTTTGTAAAGAACGCGGGCTGCAATAAGCTGACGTGCCCCTGTGGCTATAAGATGTGCTACGTGTGCCGCGCTGACCTCAGCGACGAGGGATACCGCCATTTCTGCGACCACTTTCGGCCCGACGGCGACCCAACGCCCTGTACCGAGTGCGACCGCTGCAACCTCTGGGAATCGGAGGACACGGAGCAGGTCCTCCAGGTGGCGCGTGAGGAGGCCGAGCGCAAATGGAAGGACATGGAGAATCGCGAGCTGTCAGGCACGGAGCGGGCCTTTTTGGAAACGGGCGTTGCGGCGCAGAGGGGCGACGTCAGCGTGGAACGGATACTGGTCAGTGGTAGAATCCCTGCCCTCTCCGAATTATTCGATGTCATTGTGGAAACGGTTTTCATCTAGGGTTACTGGCGTACAGACGGCACGAGCCTTGCGGTGGGTGGAATTGGATTTGCATACAGGCATCACGGGCGTCTTACAGGTTCACGATAGAGACGGGGTGAATCTCCACACCACTTGTACAAGAGATTGGGTAGCGGGATATTGGTAGCGAATTGATTACAATACAGACGTTAGTGTACATGCTTTAACGTTAAAATTCCCATCATCTCCTCAAATCTTGCTCTTGGGCTCGCCAACCAGCTCGGCGGCTGCGCCGGCAATGGCAAGCTTGCCAGTCTCCTTGACCTTGGTCTGGAAGGTGATCTTGTTGCCGTCGCGCCACATCTCGGTGACGAGCGTTTGGCCAGGAATCACGACGCCAGCAAAGCGGACCTTGATGTTCTTAAAGGCGCCGAACCGCTCGTAGACAGCCTTGCCGGCGATGCCGAAGCTGCAGAGGCCATGGAGGATGGGGGCCTTGAAGCCGCCGACCTTGGCGAATTCGGGATCGATGTGGAGAGGGCTACGCTTCGTCAGTCATGGCTGCTTGCAGGTCAATGGAAGAACTTACTTGTAATCGCCGCTCAGACGGTAAATGGCAGCCTGATCGTCAGAAGTAGTCGACTCAACAACCACGTCGGGGTGGCGGCTAGGAGGCTTGTTGGCAGCAGTAGATGCGCCACGGTCCTTGCCTCGTGAGGGACCGCCAAAGCCACCGCAGCCACGGAGGAAGACAGTCGATTCGTTGTAGAAAACGTCCTCGCCGGTCTCGGCGTCAACGGTGGTAACGGCGCTCTTGGCAATGGCAGCCTTACCCTTATCAACAACCTCGAGGAGACGACCCCGGGAGAGAAGGCGCGCGCTTGTGGGGATGGGGAACTTTCGGACCTCGAGATACTGCTCACCGTGGAGCAACATCATGGGCGAGAAGTTGGGCACGATGGTGTCAAAGTCAAATGGCATCTCGGCGTTGAAGGGAGGAATGACACCGAATGTGGGAATGACCTGAAAGTCATCGGCACCCTCACTGTTTTGCGTTAGAAGGGTCGACTTGGGGTGATCGGATGACTTACAAGACATATTTCAAGTCGGTACGCTTGGCACCAATACCCAGGTTGTAGAGGATGGAATCACGCTCCTCGTACTTGAACTCAGTGGGGCCCGCTTCTTTCTTGAGTACTTCCTCAATGATGGCAACATGTTCACTGGGAGGCGCAGGCTCAGCCTTGGTCTTGCGGTTCTCCATGTTGGCCATAATCTTGTTCAAGCCATCCTGAGAGCTGGAAGGGTTGTCGACTCGTCCATCAAAGGTGATAATGTCACCCCAGCTCTTGAGGACATCCTCGGGAACCAGAGGCACGTCGACAGGGAAGCTATGGCCACCAGTGCGCTGCCATCGGGTCTTGCCAACCCAGCCGCTGCCAACCTCGTAGAGCCCGCCGGTGGGGTCGGGGCACTTGTCGCTGCAAAGAGCGAGAACTACGGGCGCAATGTAGTCGGGCTTGAAGGCCTGGACCATCTCCTCAGGCATGATGGTGGCGGTCATGGCAGTGCCAGCGTTGGGAGCAATTGTGTTGACGTAGATGCCATACTTCTTGCCCTCGAGCGCAAGAGCACGCGAGAAACCGAGAATACCGCATTTCTATGATCGTTAGTCAAAGCCCGAGTATTACAAAAGTTGACACTTACCGCCGCGGCGTAGTTGGCCTGGCCAAAGTTGCCGTAGATGCCACTGGTCGAGGTCGTGTTGAGGACACGGCCGTACTTTTGCTTTAGGAAGTAAGGCCAGGCGGCCTTGGTGACCTTGTAGGTACCTCGGAGGTGGACGTTCATGACGGGGTCCCACAGGCTGTCGTCCATGTTGGTGAACGCCTTGTCTCGGAGGATACCGGCATTGTTGACGATGATGTCGATGCGGCCGAAGGCATCGATGGCTGCCTTGACGACGGTGTCACCATCCTCGGCTGAGGCCTTGACGCCAACGGCCTTGCCGCCGAGCTTCTTAATCTCCTCAACCACGGTGTCGGGGTTGGCTAGGTCGTTGACAACGACGGTCGCGCCATGCTTG